TCAATCTCGACAATGCAACTTAATCAGAGTAAAGTACAAATGATTTCAGAACATTCCTTACAGTCTGACAGTAAAGGGCTTAAAAGGATGTAGACCCCTCAGGAAGGCGGACACGCGAAGTACAAGGAAGGAGGGACGGCGATGAGCAACCCGTTCAGAGAGGAGGCTTACGCCTTGATCAGCGAAAATGCTTGCGCCTGTTCCCACCTCTGGAACCAGAGGAGAAACCTCTAAGCCTGGATGCGCCCTTTAGAAACTGAAGACGAACCGAGAGTGGTCAACGTCTGACAAGTCGCACTTTGGCATCAGAAGGAGCCGAGTCCTCATCAACCATTTCGACAAGGACTGAGGAAGATGTAGAGCTGACCCTGAGATTATGGAGACTTGAAACAATTATTGTAAAAAATTAATAAAAAAGTTTCATAAAAATAGTTTTAAATATAAAAAATGCTAAACTTTTAGTAAAATACATTTTTTAAAAACAAGGAATAAAATTATTTCTTTTTTATGTAAAAATTAATCTTCAGTATGATTTCAATTACAAATTAAAAACTAACCTTAATGATTACTAAAAATATTGATTAATTAACATTAATGATCACTAAAAATATTAACTTAAAAATCAAATTAATGGTAGAAAAGAATATTTTAAATTAAATCTTACTAATTCTGTTTCCTTTTTTCAACTCTACATTTACTTAAATAAAAATTCATAAATTTTTCATTTATTTAAGTATATATATTTTTTATAAAAAATAATGAATGCCTTTTAAAAAAATAGAAGTCTAAGGCCAATGTTTTAATGGACTTTACTCAAGGCCGGTCTAAGATGATTAAACCGGTGAGAAGAAAAAAGAAAAGAAGGAAAAACGATCTATTTCCCCCCGAGAAGTATCATATAAAGAGCTAGATATCTCCGAATAAATACTTAAAGAGCTAGATCTCCACAAACTTTGATTTCAAAACTTCAGACTCCATAGACACTGGTTTAATATGCTTTAGTGGTTTGAAAACAAGGATGAACCAATAATGAACCGAATTAAACCTAATTACAATCCAATTACAGATATCTAAACTAATTAGGACCCGATTATGTGATCAAAACCAAACCAAATATAATATGTTATCTCTTAAACCTTTAATCCCCAAAAAATCCCCAAATCGCGAAATCCCCAAATTGACAAACCCTAAATCGTGAAATCCAGAAAATTGTTTATTTCCAATGTCATTAGTTCCTGGCGATGACATCGGCGAGTTCGACGAAGAAGCAGTTGACCGAGAAGAGGCTGAAATCGAGCAATTTCTCCAAGAGTTCGAGGATGAGCAACCAATTGAACATGATGTATATCCCGAAACCGAAACCGATAGTGATGAAGGAGAAGACAGAGAAGTTGAAGAAGGTGTTCGACGAGAGAGACAAAGACAGCGGACCAATATCAGACGTGGTGATGAAAGATTATACAAGGACCAAACATTCTTCAATGGTGTCGCATTTAAAGAGTGTGTGCTCGACTATGTACTAAGAACTGATCGAAATTTGAAGCAATACAGGTATGATAAGGATAAAACAGGGTTTAAATGTGTTGGTGGTGTTAGTGGTATTAGTGATCTTGAAGAAAACAAAGGACGTATGTGGCAAGTATATGCTTCGATCCTGCCAAATGATGCAATGTAGAGAATTAGGTTATTTGTAGATGAGCATAGATGTGTTCCTAATGGAGAATGTGAGATGTTTAAGGTTCCTGTTATTGCTTGGATGTTTGTTGATAAGATTAAAGAGGAACCTGATTATTACATGCCTATGAAGATTGAAGAAATTGTGATGGAAAGATGGAAGATTTTTGTATCTAGGGCTCAGTGTCAAGCTGCAAGAAATAAAGCATTGAGGTGGATCGAATATGATTATGATCAACAGTTTGCTCGCCTTAGAGATTATGCTGCTGAGTTAGTGGAGTCAAATCAGGATTCAAGTGTGGAGATTGATACTTTTAAAAATGCAGAAGGCCAAGATGTGTTTAATAGTTTAAATGTTTGCTTTGATGTGTTGAGAAGAACATGGAAAGAGACTTGTAGGCCTCTGATCGGAATTGATGGCACATTCATTTCTGGAAAAGTCAAAGGACAAGTATTAGTGGCTCTAGGTAGGGACGCAGACAATGCTATATATCCTATAGCATGGAGTTGTGTCCAAGTGGAAAACACTGACAACTGGTTATGGTTTGTGAGAAAACTGAAGGCCGACTTGGGATTGAATGATGGTGATGGATTTATTATAGTGTATGATCGGCAAAAAGTAAGTAAATTGCTTATTTGATTGCTTATTTGATTTTGGTTATTTTATATTTCTTGTTGCTTTAACTTGTTTTTCTGTTTCAGAGATTGATCAAAGCAGTTAAGGAAGAATTGCCAAAGGTTGAGCATAGAAAGTGTGTGAGGCACATCTATGGCAACCTGAAGAAAAATCATGGGAGCAAAAAACATATGAAGCCATTGATATGGAATTTGGCGTGGAGCTATAACGATGCACAGTTTCAAGAGAGCATCGACAGGCTTCAAAACTATGATAGTGGTGTCTTTGCTGATGTGAAGAAGACAGATCCAAAGACCTGGTGTAGAGCTTACTACAAAAAGGGGAATTATTGTCAAGATGTGGAAAACAACTCCACTGAATCTTTCAACAAGACAATTAAAAAGGCGAGGGAGAAGGCATTTATTCCTATGCTAGAAACCATAAGAAGATTGGCGATGGTTCATATTGCCAAAAGATCAGCCAAATCTCACGACCACAATGGTATTAATATTTTTAGTGTTCTGTTTTTGGTATAAGTGTTTTTAGTTGTTTCACTTCAATTTTTTTTGCTTTTTATTTCAGGGATTTGTACACCCTATGTTACAAAGTTTCTTGCAGCCGAGCATGAGCAAGCTTCTTTATGTATTGTTACTAGAGGCACAAATAGATACTATGAAGTAAGGCTGGGTGGTTGTTCTTACCGTGTCAACTTGGAGAAGAGGACTTGCACTTGCTTCAAGTTTGATATTTGTGGGATCCCATGCGAGCATACTTATGGAGTAATAATGGTGAAAAAGCTTGTAGCTGAAGACTTTGTTTGTCACTGGTTTCGCACATCGACATGGAGGAGGAACAATGAAGAAGGCCTTGTTCCAGTAAGAGGTGCACGGTTCTGGCCCCAAAAAAATCATCTGAATGTGCATGTTCCTCCTAAACCTGATCAACCTGGCAGGAAGAAAGTAACTAAGGCTGACAAGAAGAGAAAGAAATGTGTGAATGAGTCTCCAACCAAGAAGGCAGACAAAGTAAAGAAAATGATAATGCATTTTAAAGTATGTGGTGTAGCTGACCATAACTCAAGATTTCAAGTCGCAAATACTGTTATGGATTTGAGACCAAATTTAGTTATTAAATTATACAATTTTGGTAACTAAACTTAAGTCACTCACAATTATGTTTGTGGTTTCTAGTTTTGACTTTTGTTTTGGGATAAAATTTGTTTGTGGTATCGAGTTTAAGCTTTGTTTGTGGTATCGGGTTTAAGCTTTGTTTGTGGTATCGGTTTTAAGCTTTGTTTGTGGAATCGGTTTAAGCTTTTTTGTGGAGATTGGTTTCTGATTTTATTGCAGGCTTCTTAAGTGTTTCTGGTTTTACTGCAGGCTTCTCAAGAGGAATCCTCTCAAGGAACTCTCACTCAAGCTCAATCTTCTCAAGCTATGGAACAAATATAGGAAGAAGGAAGTAATGGATAAGAAGAGGTCGGTTTTTGTAGGGTGGGTTTTTGTAGGGGCTAAGAAGAAGGATCTAATGTATGGTCGGTTTTGTGTTTCTGCATTATTGGTACTTTTTGCAGGGTCGGTTTTTGTGTAGGCTAAGAAGAAAGATTTTGTTCATGCATTATTGGTACTTGATTTAGTGTCCTGTTTTGTATAACCATTGTGTGTTGCACTTATTTTTTGGTGATACAATATGAGCTTTTGACCATTTCTTTTTGTTCTTGTACTTTTCAATGGTAACCATAGATAATTATAAATAAACAAAGCACAATTATATTATCAAGACACTAATCTTAGACATTACCAATAAAAAACAAACACAGCACAAAACACTAAACAAAAATAAACACAAAGCACAAAACACTAAACCGCAAAATGTACCAAAACCTTACATAAAACCCAAAAGCACATCTAAGAAGATCATCATCATTTTTTTTAAACTAGCTTTATAAATCCAACAACAATCATACACCCAATGACCACAAGTATCATCATCTTCTTCATGCTACATTTTGCATCAATCAAGCCATTTTCAACCCTCTCCATTATCTCATTCTCCAGCTTCATTTGAAGCTTCTCAAAAACATCATTCTCAAACTCCATATGCTTTGTAGTAATCTCTTTCAACTTTTGTTCAAGTCTTGCATTTTTGAATTGCAATGTCTCAATCTCATTTAAGACTGCCTCATCAACCCATTTTAATACATGATGGTCATTCATAAGCTAAAAACAGAAAAACCAACATCAATAACAATCGCAACCAACGAATCACAACCAACAAATGAGATTTTCAATTTATATTACTTTCTTTGATGTTGCATAACCACGACGGAAGTATCGCTGGTAAGGATTGTGGTCGGATTTGGACATCAAAGCTACAATATCCTCGCCACACCAACATTTCTTTGGCACGCCCACAACTCGTTCGCTTCTTGGCCGATTGCTTGATGTTCCGCTCGAAGGTGTTGACACATTACTTGTTGCTCTAGACATGATGACTTCCGCTACAAATATAGAATCATCAACAAAGCATAAAAATGACAATCGCTTTTGCAGACTCGATTTTGCAGAATAGAGCTTCTACTTATGAAATACAAGAATGCTTGTATGATTTCGAAGGACTTACACAGGTATTTGAGAATTCGCAATCGCTTTTGCAGACTCGATTTTTCAAAATCGATCCTAGAGTTCTAATAATTTGATTTGGAGATTTTCAGGAGTTCAAATTCAATTGAGTATTTTAAAGAATGGGTCTATCGGATCTGGTTTAGGTGGATGTAAGAGGTGAAAATTGTTTCACGTACTTTTTATTCGGTCTTTACATTTCTGAAAAGAGCTACACTTTTCTAATTTTTTCTAATAAAATAATTGAATGGAACTGTCTTAAGTTCCATATGCATCTTCCTAGGCACATGCAGGTACACCAACACTTGGCATATGCACAAACACAATGGAGTATGGAGCTATTGTTATCGGATCTGTAGAGTTCACATGTATCGGCTCCAGAAGAGGTATGTCACCTGTCGAATTAACCTGTAGTGCGTTTCCATTGAGTAGCATAGTCTGACTGTGTAAATTTCCATCCTTTGCTGTCAAATGGTACTCTTCTCTTTGGTTTTCACCATTAGAAACCCAAGGCAGCTGGGAAGTTGTTGCTCTCTTCTTAAACGACGACTTTCTTTGCTTCTTATGTCTCAGACTAAAAGTGTTATTCAGCTCTACTTTTGCCATAAATGTTGTAGTGTTGTCAAGGTTCATCAGTAAAACTGTGATTCCTTTCTGCATGATGAAACTTCCAAGTTACATGAGAAGAGTTCATTGAGAATCATGCCATTTAAGTTGCTTGTATGGTGGTAACTAGACTTACCGATTGTCTTGCACAATGTGTGTATGAACGTATCTTTTTAGTTCCGGAAAAGCTTGTGAACAATGCCTTTCTTCCCATAAGTCTTCGCCATATCAGAGCACTGCAATTTAACCAAGTAGCATGGCTTGTAATTAGGATTAGATTATTCTCATTTCTTCTGGTGACATACCAGTCAAGACCTATGTTACCTGTAATAGTCTGGATTTGGTGTGAAATTAGTAGTGTTTAGCAGCCCATAGTTTCCTCCGATCAGAGACTGTCTGCAGTATGTTTTTGTATCGTAAATCGATGTCATTCCAAGCTGGTCTAGGTACCTACCATCATGCATTATAATCATTAGGAATGTGTTGACTATAATGCATGTGATATAATATAAGCTTATTGTTTGCTGTTATGATATCGATTTCTTACCAGAAACTATACACGAAAGCATTAGAGACAAGATTCCGCCCGCTGTTGTAGGCACCACCAGACTCACCAACCCACGCCACTGCCTTGGTTGATGAGTTCTTGATTATGTTCTTAAGGTCGCGAAACGTTGTTGCCACTTGGCCCAGGTACGAAGGGTCTAGAATTTTTTCTACCAGATGTTCGTCGACTCCTAATCCATCAAAATGTAGTTTTCTTTTCATATTCAGCAATGGTAATCAAGAACATGCCAAAACAGTCGAGGATTCAGTTTACCTGGACCGAGATTGTAGATGTGGTGAGTAGTAGCATCAAGAGAGTCTGCTGTTTTGTTCAAGTATTCTGTGAACCAAACAGCTTCAAAGAAGCCACCGGGGCCTATCACCAGCGGCATAGAACTCACATTCTTGTAAACCCGGTTCACGATGTTTCGCAGAGCTATGGTGTCCATAGCATACTGATTTGCTGCAACTCTTGCACCAATGCCATTTCCACATAACTCATTGCCTATCGGAAAAAGAAAAGGCAAAACCAGCTTAATGATGCAAAGATATTTGATCTGGCTTGTACATTCTTTCTTCTCTCTATTGTGTTGTCAGGTGACTTACCAAGCTCCCAACCATCAACGGTGTGGTTGTTCTGTACTATAAACTGGATGAATGATTCAGCATTTGTGTAATCCCAGGCTCCTACGGCTTCTCCATTAGATTTTATGTTCTTCCCCGAAAGCGCATTCAGTCCGAAGATGACTTTAGCTCTGATTCAAACCACACAAGTAGGTTGGTCAGAGACGAGAGGAAGATGCGAACAACCTTGAAAGAAAGAAGGAAATTTTGAAGGTACCCGGTTTTGCGGAAGAAGGTATTGAGCTCGTTCCATCGGCTCATAGAGAGACATCCTTGTGTATAACCAAAGAGAAGGGAAGAGTTTTTGGTGAAAGGAAGACAAGGCTGCTTCTGATCTGGTGTCTCATATATGACCAAATCTTGTAATGTTCCTCCTATTCTTATTTTCAATGGAGCAAATGCTGCATTTTTTCGAATTGGGAACGGTCAGATTTTCACATAACATATAGAATAATCAGTAATGTGAGGTAATTATTATACCTTTGATTGCATTTTGAAAAACAGTGTTGTTCAGGTCCTGCAAGATGATCAACATGGAAAGTTTCATTAGGCTTCAACATATAATTCGTAGAATGTTTTTATTGGGTAAAAGACTTTTCTACAATGAGTAAATTGTATTTGCCAATTGCAGAATGCCTAAGAAACATTTCCATTTATTGCTGCTACCTGTCACCAACTCATATAAGTGCAGTGTTTTTTTTTTTCTTTCGAATATACAGGTTGGATTGTTTTCGACGGAAAAACATGAAAAATGAAAACAAAAAATTGTAAAAGAGATAGAAGAACACCAGATTGAGAATTGAAGCATGGTCCAAAGCACAAGTACCTAGTCTATAGTCACATACTCACATTACTATCTTTTTTATAATAATATACAAGTTGCAACTTGCATTCTGCTTTTCTTTTTATTGTATAATACAAGTTGCATTGTTTTCGACGGAAAATCATGAACAATGAAAACAAAAATTGTAAAAGAGAGAGAGAAGAAAACCAGATTCAGAATCGAAGCATGGTCCCAAGCACAAGTTCCGTAGTCACATTTCTGAGGCGGCCACCAGTCTAAAGTGGCGCAGATAAAATCTTCGTCTACTGTTCCTACGGCAGCTCTTCCGTACACAAACACCGTCCCTTTCTCTTCTACGGCGGAGCTTTCCACGGTGTTGTCAGAGAATTGGAACAGCCAAAGGAATAACACACACACCCATATTTGGCCACAACCCATTTTCTTCATTGGATATAAAGAAAATGGGATCTGATTTGGTGTTTATATATATGCAAATGGAAGACAGAGACCATAGTCAAAAAGTGAATTTTTTTCATATAAAGAAATTGTATTAGCTATTATTTTATAATACAATTTCTCATTACATATACAGTTTATATACACCAAATCACAGATCCCATTTCCTTTTATGGGTTGTCGCCAAATATCGGTAACAGTGTTATTCCTTTTTTTATTTATATCTACGACATTTGTTAATTTATTTCATGTTGTTGTTTGAGTTGGTTACTTGACCTTTTAATAAAGTAATACTTTTTTTTATAAAAAAGGATCTAAATAATAAAGTAGATTGAGCCAAAAAAATAAAATAATAAAGTATACAATCTACCTGCACTACTTTTATATATTGTTGCTTTTAAGTTACATGAGTATTTTGCTTACATGCAAAGGGTTTCACGGAATCAAACTCTTAATAAAGCCAACGTAGAAAAAGGAGTTGGCCTAACCGCCTCTGATCTATCACATAATATATAAAAATTGATGGCATAATATATTGAAGGCGTCCACTTTAAAAAATTCGATCTGATTGGTCCACATCAGCATATTCATTAAATAAAAAAATGTTAAGTATGACACTACAAGAAAACATCATGAATCCTGATGGAAATTTTGACCAAAAACTGTTTCGTCAGGAATTTCTGATAAAAATCTGACCGGAAATTGACGAAATCTGAAAGCTTGAAATTCCGACGACATTTCCGACGGATTCAAACTAAATCTTGATGATATATATCCATCAAAAGTTCTGTCACAAAAAAAAACAACCGTTAATATAGCTGTTGTTGTAACGGTTTGAAAATCAAAAAACTTGTCGGAAATCCATCAAGATTCCGTCACAATCTCCGTCAGATATTTCGTCAGAAAAAAATCCAACCGTTAGTAATAGCCGTTGGTAATATAGCCGTTTAAAAAGTTAAATAGACGTCAGGAATCCGTCAGAAATCCGTCACAATATCCCAAGAATCATTCTATAAAATCCTTTCTTTCCTCATTGCAAACAATGGTGTTACCAAACAAAACCTTACAAAATATGTCTTCTCCAAATCATTTCGAGTATTTTAGAACAGAAAAACTTGATTTAATTGGTCCACATCAACTTTTAAATCAAATCAAAAATTATTAAATATAATTAAAACATTAAAAGTTAATTTAACAAATTATCTCCAACAAAAAAACTAAATTCAATTTGATTGATCCAAATTAACATATTTATTAAATAAAAAAAATGCTAATATAGTTTAAAATTTCAAAAGTTAAATAAAAAATTAACAATTAACAATACGTGTATAAAAAAAAGTAATCATTATCAATTTAAAAAAATCTACAACAACTCGATTTAACAATTAAAACAATGAAAACTGAATAAAAATATAACATAAAACTCTAGAAAGACATGATGGAGAAGGAAAAAATGGTTGTGCATGACCATTACAGCTTCCTAACAAAATTAAATGTGAATCAATTGAATCATGGATTATATATACAGTGGTACACAATATCAATAAGACTTTCAATAATCTAGTTCCAGAATCTAAGAAGAAAATTAGTTTGAAATAGGACGAAGAAAATCTATATGCTTAGTCCACATCAGCATATTTATTAAATAAAAAATATTAAGTATGATTAAAACATTAAAACATTAATTTCTAATTTTTTAAAACATTAATTTCGTTTTATATATAAAAAATAAAAATAAAAAGATTAAGTAAGAAATAGAAAAGAAATTAATGTTAAAAAAAAAAAAATATAGTTCTTTGAAAATTAAATAGAAATTTAATATCAAAAAAGTTAAACTAACAAAAAAAACCAATAAGGTAAAAGCTAAAGCTTATAATGTAGATTAGAAAAATTTATTAAGAAACTCAATTTGATTGGTCCACATTAGCGTTTTCATTAAATGAAAAAAAAACTGTGATTAAAACATTAAAATATTAAAACATTAATTTCGTTTTATAAATGAAATTAAAATAAAAAGCTTAAGTAACAAATAGAAAAGAAATTAATGTTAAAAACAAAATATAGTATCTTTCAAAACTAAATAGAAATTTAATGTCAAAAGAGTTAAACTAACAAAATAAAAACCAATAAGGTAAAAGCTAAAACTTATAATATAGATTAGAAAAATTATTAATATAGACTCATTAAATAAAAAAATATTAAGTATGATTAAAACACTAAAATATTAATTTCTAATTTTTTTAAACCATTAATTTCGTTTTATATATGAAATATTAAACTAAAAAGACTAAGTAACAAATAGAAAAGAAAATAATGTTAAAAAAACAAAATATAGTATCTTTATAATTAAACAGAAATTAAATATCAAAAGAGTTAAACTAACAAAAAAACCAATAAGGTAAAAGCTAAAACCTGTAATATAGATTAGAAAAATTTCTTAGGAAACTCAATTTGATTGGTCCACATCAGCGTTTTCATTAAATAAAATTTTTTAGATATGATTAAAATATTAAAAAATTAGAAATTAATTTTTTAAAACATTAATTTCGTTTTATAGATGAAAAAAATAAAATAAAAAGCTTAAGTAACAAATAGAATAGAAAATAATGTTAAAAAAAAAGAAAATATAGTATCTTTCAAAACTAAATGGAAATTTAATGTCAAAAGAGTTAAACTAACAAAAAAACCTAAAACTTATAATATAGATTAGAAAAATTTCTTACTCCTAAATTAATTGACAAGAATATATTACACATTAATTTTTTTTATAGATAAACAATTAAAATAAAAAAGCTCAAGTAAATAGAAAAGAAAACTATATCATAAAAATTAAACTATAGTATCCCTCACATTTAAATTGAAATTTTAAGTCGAAAAAGTTAAACTAAAAAAAAAAACAAATATCATAAAAGCAAATTAACTTGATATCTAAAACAAAAACATTAATATGAAAATTGTTATAAAAATTAATATAAAAACAAATTTAACAAAAATAAAATATTTTTATAAAAGAAATTAACTTGATATATATGCTATATATTTTGAAAATCAACAACAAAAGAGGTTAATAAAAAAATAAGCCCTAAGTATATCAAACATACAAAAAATTGTATAAATTAAAATAAAAACATAAAATTATTATCAAAAGAGATATAAAATATCAAAAAAAAAATTAAAACAAAATTAATTTCAAAACATTCCTGATATCTAATGTATTAGTATCAACAATGGATAACTATCTACACGTTGTAATAGGTTTCTAGAAATTTCTAAATCAAACATATTTTTAAATATACAATGATTAATATATTGGATGTTTCTGATTTAAAAACTAACAAAGAAAAATAATACATAAATAACTTTACATTCGAAATTTAATAAGTACTAAAATCTGATTTCTATACATAGCCATTACTTATATCTGAATCAACATTAATAACACATGAATAACACATTCTAAAAATTTATTTAAGTAGTTAAATATAATAGAGTTATGAATCAAACTCAAATTAGTATATGTAGATAAAATATTCAAATCAAAACTTGCAGATTGTACACAAAAGATAAAAACAGTAAAAAATAATGCGAAGACTACACCACCAATCATATAAGTTTAAAAACTAAAATTATCAAATTGTAGATTGCAAAAGAAAAAATAGATCTGAATAAAAACTGAATAAATATATAAGCTAAACCTCGTGGAAGACCCGGTGAAGAAGGAATAAATGGTTTTGCATGATCACTGCAACTTCTTAACAAGACTAAATGCAAATCAGCATGAAACATGGATTATATATGCATAGGTACATAACATCAATAAAATATTCAATAAAAACTATATATCTGAACACATAAACCTTAAAAAAATATACAAATTCTCTGAAAAACAAAACAAAATATCAAGATGTTAGCAAAGAAATCATTCTCTAAATCAAATGCATGTATACATCAAAGTTGGATAATTCGATATTCTTATTATTTTATTTAATAAAATTTAAAATTTTATAAATAAACATAGGAGAAAACTACATATTATATTTATAAAAAAGAAAATTTCTATAAATCTATTATAGTCTTAATAATTTAGAAGGTAGTAGTTTAAAATAAAAAAATAAACCAAACTTTTAATACAAACTCGCGCATAGCACGAGTTATAAACCTAGTATTATTAATTGAGAAGCAAGTTGGGCTGCAGTTGAGAATTATGATGGTTGATTACCTTTTGCCCCTTATATGAATTTACTTTAATTATCCTTAATAAAATTAACAAATTAATATAATCTAATTATTAATTGATTTTTTGTTTTTTTTTTAAATCTAGGTTTCCAAATTTGATTTTTTATTATAATAATATTCAGGTTACTAAAAAAAGGTAACTAGCATAAATAAAAACAAAATTCTATTATTTCATTAAACTTATTTTTAATTTGATTATTTAATCTACTAATATTTTTTACTAACCTAATTGATTTATGCGACCACAAGTAAAACTCTAAATCATTTAATCCCTTTTAAAACTCTCCAAATATTAATTAATGTTAAATTGATATGAAACAAAGATACTTTGGTTTTGTTTATTTTGGATTGCTATGTTTTTTTTTTATGCAAACTTTGAATATCATTAATCTTAATCTACCAATTTACATCAAAAGAAGAAAATTATTTATCATGTTTGATAAATGCAACAAAACAACAAAGCATAAATATAAGTTTTTATCGGAAAATATAAAAGATATTAAAAAATAAGATATAAATAATAAATTTTGCTTTGTCATAAAAAAACAATATACTCATACAAATTGTATTTTTTCAAATATACTAAAGTTAGTTTCAAATCATTATAAAATCTGATTTTTTTACTATAAATAAACTAATATTATACTTTTTAAATTTTTTGATCGAACCCCACACAAGGTGCGGGGAAACACCTAGTTACTAATAATCTGAAAAATATAGTTTAGTTTCAATTAGAGAACTACAGTATAACCTCTATAAATTTATATTCGATAAATTAATAATTATTATCAATTAATAAATGTTGTCAATCCTAAATGAAGTCAGTATAAAAATTGATAAATTTTGATAAATAATAATTTTTTTAAAAACTCCTATATAAAAGCATAGTCCTAATAATTATATAAATTAATAATTCTATATTAGGTATATATAAATAATGC